AGATCGTGCGTGTCGAGGGCGCGAAATGCAGGCGAGAGTGCGTTTTGTCTCTGTCCGGCGCAACCCTCTGCGGAGATCGCGCGCGTCGAAGGCGCGAAATGCAGGGGAGATATCTGAAGTGGCCAGTTTGTACAAATGTAGTACACCAACGTCGCGTCGCCACACGGTCTGCCCAGACACTAGCAGCAAACATGTCACTTGATACCAGAAATCATCCCGCTCACCAGCGACACGGCGCGTTTACGCCAGCCTGTTTCGCGCTCCCCAGTGGCACGGCGCCACGCAAACACACTTCCCACCCAGGCCGCGCAAAACCGCATGGCGCTGCGACATCACGGACGTAACTCGCCACGCGGTCTGCCCACACACTAGAAGCAATCTTATTACACGATACCGCCGATCATCCCGCTCACCAGCGACACGCCGCGCTTACGCCAGCATGTTTTGCGCTCCCCAGTGCGTTTGCGTGGTGCCGTGCCACTGGGGAGCGCGAAACGGGCTGGCGTAAACGCGGCGTGTCGCTGGTGAGCGGGATGAGTTCTGGTATCATGTGACATGTTTGCTGCTAGTGTCTGGGTACAAACCGTGTGGCGATGCGACGTTGGTGATGTCACAGTGCCATTGGGATTTGCGCGGCCTTGGTGGAAAGTGCGTTTGCGTGGGGCCGTGCCACTGGGCAGCGCGAAACATGCTGGCGTAAACGCGGTGTGTTGCTGGTGAGCGGGATGATTTGCGGTATCAGGAGTGTCCCAAAAGAGTGCCCCGCAAAAGCTTCCTACAAGAGTGGCCCACAAGAGTGTGCCAGAGAGAGTGTCCCACAAGAGTATCTTGACACGCTCACATCTGCAGGTCTACCTCTCCACTCCACACATCTGCACATCTAAATCGCACCTGCGCATCCACACTGTCACTCCTTCACATCCGGCCTCTCTTTCTCTCTTTCTGCTTCTAGTGCGCTCTGTACATTTACATCGCCACACGCTCACATCGGCGGATGTACCTCTCTACCTCCACACATCCACACATCTGCACATCTATATCACATCTGTACATCCACACTGTCACTCCTTCACATCCGCCCTCTCTTTCTTTCTGTCTGTCTGTCTTTCTTTCTGTCTTTCTACATGTCCTTTCTCTGACCTGCGTAGATTTACATCTTGACACACTCACATCTGCAGATCTACCTCTCCACCTCCACACATACGCACATCTATATCGCACCTGCGCATCCACACTGTCACTCCTTCACATCCGCCCTCTCTTTCTCTCTTTCTACATATCTTTTTCTCTTCACATTTTAAATTTCACTTTATTCACAACTTCTTACTCAATAACAGATTGTATAAAGAACTCATGGCTCTTGGACAAATCAGTTTTTATTGTTTCAAAACTCGGCAGTGCTGAACAATCACCTGTCTCGCTCTCGGGCCAACCGTCGTCTAGTTGTTTGGGTCATAGATGCTCTTGTGACTGGGATGACCGATTGCTGAGAGTTCCAGCATACCTGCGATGTCTAAAATGTGTTCCTTTCTTGTCACCAGTCCGTCGCTCAAATGCTGCTGCTGAATGCCCGAGTTGAAGAGCTCAGAACCCACCAGGTTTTGAAACACGGCATGTCCAGAGGACTTGTTTTGACGCAGGCAAACCAGTGGCAGCTAATCACCCCGAGCGGGACAGCGCCCACCCCGCGATATGGCCACAGCATGGCTTGGAGCGACGCCGCGGGTGGCTTTTACATCTTTGGAGGAACTGATGGCAGCTTGGACGCAGGTGCAAAGCGCAACAAGAGGTCCAGCATAGTCATTTGGCGCTGAGGCAGTCGATTGAATGACTTGTATTTGTATGTCCAGGAGGCCAGAGGGGGAGGAAGGATCTCAGAGTTTGCTTCAAGCAAATGCGTGGCCCTTGTGCCGCATCAAGCACAATCTCTTCCGTCTTCCGCTGCAGCGATATTTGCAGTAGCGCCGTTCTCATCTTGGGTCCGTTCGTTCGAAAAAAACAGGTTAGGTGCCCCTAGTCATTACAATGAGGTTCGGTTTCACCTCTGTGTCCCTAGTCACCTGGTTTGCTTTCAGCTGTATACGTCCAGGGTACCATGATACTTGTACACAATGGTGGTGCCAGCGATTGAGTGAAGTTGACATCATCATCAAAGAGGGGATTGAATGAAAGTTGCCATCAACGAAGACCGTCACTTTTTCCTCTGACGGATGCAGAGTTCACCTACCTGCGGAGAAGATGATCCCCATCGATTACCTCTGGGGTTCTGTTGTCGCGCGAACCAGACTGCCCGCCAGTGCGTTGGTTGGTTCCGCACGTTTCCATTTCTAAAACGGAGTCCCTTGAATTGCCTGACTTGCTTGCAATGTCAAACGGCGTTGAAAGCCAATGCACGATCGAAACTTTTGGACATCGCCGGTGCAATAAAGTCACAACATCATGGCCGACGCCAACCTAGGCGTGAGCTTTTTGACGGTTGGGGTTGGGATTGTGATTTTGTTTGCGCGCCGCAAATTCGGATCGCTTGCGCGCAGGATTTCGTGTTCCGTATTTTGAAGACCGTCTCAAAAATCTCGGGTTGGGTGGTTGCTGGGCACTATGTAGAAAGAAGTTGAGCGTCAGATGCGACAGGCGTGCCAGGCTGCATTGAAATCTCTTTGAAGTGCCCAAATTGCACCTAAATTGCCAGGTTTATGACACGTCTACATGGACAATGTCTACAGGGACAACTTTAACGTCAACTTTAACCACGGTAACCACGGTCACCTCGACCCTGACTACGACTACGACAACTGTTGTGGACGTGAGCGCTGAAGTGGCTGCTGTTGCCCTTTCGACGCCTTGTTCGACTAGAGTCAGTTGTACTATGTTGAATGTGATAAGGCCACTGTCGTGTAATGACTTTTGTTGTTTGCAGAATGCAGATCCTTGGAATTTGCCGGACATATTTCCCGTCGTTATTTGCCGTGAAGGGAACCGCACCAGTTTTAACACGCTAAGTTGCTAAGCTTTCAGGAGTGGCAGCTCCTCTCTTTGCCTTGCGCTTGTGCTTTGTTTGCTTTGCAGAAGAAGGCTACGATTTCAGGACAGAGCAGTTGAAAGATGTTCAGCAGTTTGATGCTGTAGAACAGGACGCCGTCGTTGCAAAGTGAAAGCATGACTCATTTATTGGTGAACGTATGTATTGCAAGACATTTTTGACCAGCTTTTCATGTTTTCTAGCATGGTCTTGCCAGTTGTGGGTCCAGAGTCCGATTTGGATTTTGGGAGTGAGCTCCGGGACTATCTTAAGGATCTTTGTGCCCGTGTGATGCCCTTCTGAATGGTTGTGATGTTTTTCAGAAATGGATAGATCAGTTTGGCAACTCAGAAGCCTTCGACTGGAACTAGCAACACTGCCGTTGTGACAAGATTGCTCAAGCTGGTCGGCCGCGTGACAAACTCTGTAGCCCGTTTGGCACGCGCACGTTGAACTCTCTGGTAGGTGGCTGCGTCTGATACGCGCGGGAGCTCTTGCGTTCGTTCGTTCGCGTTTGCCAGGAAGCTGCCCGCCGGCGGAAAGAGGCTGGCCTTGTTTTTTGCCGAGACTGGAGACGGTTTCTTGCGACTCGTTGAACTGCCAGGACTTTAAGCTGAGCAATCCTTTGGCGGTCAAACACTTTGTTCTCTATGCAGTCTCTCGACTGATGTTGTGGTCTCCAAGTTTTGATATTGGAGAAGGTTTGACAGAGATCTTCTCGAAGAAGGGGCAGAGATGGAGCTTTTGGTATGCTCTTTTTTGCGGACCATCATAATATGCCGCAATATACGATCAATTCCGCGCCCCAGCTCGCACACACCATGAAGTTTGCTCAAACACTTTCTTTGCGTCGCTCAGGTTTTGTTTTTTCATTTTCCTGTACACAACGTTTGAAGTCGGTCGAAGATCAACAGCTCAACGGAGTCCACTCTTAGCTCTTCCAGTCCAAGTCCCTCATCTTCAAACGAAAGACGTCGATGTCATCAGTCAATCGTCCTTTGCTGGTGAACAGCTGGACCCTACGGCGAAGTCTTCGATTGTACCTTTCTCTCCCGCAATCGCATGACAGGTTCCACATTGCAAAGCTGCGCTTCTGCAGGAACAGTAATTCTGAGAAACAAGAGCAGATGCCGTCATAACCACCTGCAACGCAAACTCCTGCAAAGCTCTCAATGTTACTGTCTTTATTGCTTGTGGCGCACTATGTGAAACAGACAGAATCAAGTCGAGCAGTGAGCAGTGACAAGAAAAGCAAAACCATCATGTTGGCGAGCAGTAACGAACAATGGACCATGGAATGACATTGAGTTTTTGCGCGGTCTATGTTATGTTATGATTCATGATATGTTTTGTTTCATGTGTGAGTGACACAGGGTTTTGCTTGCTTGAGGATGTGCGGCTGGTGCGGTATGAATTCTTGGAAGAGATCTTCGGTGCAGGCAAGCCTTGGCCTCGGCGACAGGAGGCCGAAGAGATGAAGATGGAAGATGGGCGAACAGCTTTGGTGACGCGGGACGAGCTGAGAAGCTTGTGGCGTCTTCACTGCAATTGGACGATGACATGAAGAATTGCGTTGGAAGGGTCTTTTGGCTCAAGGGCCCAGCTGTTCCCTTGGGAGCAGTCCATAGAAGGTTCAGGGCTTCAAGCGCACGCCGACTTGTCAGTTGTTTTGGCATTTCAGGGGCTGCGCAGTGATAGGAGTCTTGCGCCGCTTGTGCTCATCACTGTAGAAGCGCAACGCCTTGAGAAGATTCTGCGTCAGACGTTGATGCGCATTCGTTTGCCAGAAGACTGCAGCCACCCCAGGGTACATGGCCAGGGCGGTTTTTCGGCTTGGAAGGTTCACAACTACTTGCCACAGGCGTGGAAAGGTGAGAGCTAGGTAGGAAGCTAGCAACACCAAGAGTGTGTCGTTCACCTTTGCTCACCTCTACTTGTCTTCTAGCATTTTACTGGCTTGCGTTTCTCTTGGCTTTGTTTACTTGTTCCAATCCCTTTCAATCTTTTTCCATCTTCATCCAACGCGCCCCTGTCTTTGTACTTCGTTCTACCTGTATCAACGCGGTGCGGCCGCAATGCTTGCAGTGGCGCCAGGTGCTCTTTGAGCGGGTATGCAGCATGTGTACCCGGAAGGCTTTCCTTTGTGTAAAGAGTAAAGGCTCAAAACCACATGGGACCGCAAGTTGCCGGGAAAGAGGTGTGTCTTCTGCGGCGCAGAAGTCCCGAATGGATCCCCCAACAACCGGTGCATCTTGCATCGCGTATGGCCTGTGGACGGCGCGATGTCTTAAATGCCCTGTTTTGGTGCATTTGCGCAAAGCTTCGAGCATTTCATTGGCTTGCTACTATATAACTAGTACGCGTGGAGCCAGATCTTGCGGAGGCATCTCTTCCAAAATGCAGACAGGTCAACACAGCCACACGGATGGTTGCAGGTATGAGCGAGGAGATGCACTGCAATATATGTGGCAGGCAACGCAGGTCAAACGGAAAAAGACTGGTTTGAGGCGGGGTCCAATATACACACATCGCCCGGGCTTTTGCCAAGTGAGGGCCAGGGCAGAAGATGGGTTGCGTAACATGAAACACATCCGGCAAGGCCAGCCTCCACACATAGAATATTGGCACATGGACGGAGGAACTTTGTAGCTTGAAACGCCTTGAGTTCCGGTGGTAAACGCAGTTCAACTTCATGTTTGTGGTTGTAGAGCATGCACGCTTACATTATGGCAAAGCTTCAGTGTTCACCCTTTGCTGTTGCTTCAACTTGTTGTCTGTGTGCCCTTGGACGTTGCCAAGGTACAGCGCGGAGAAACGGAAATTTTTCCAAGACGCGGATGAACGCGTTGAAGTTCATCTTTGTTCCATTTCCCATGCTTGGGAAGCGATGGAGCACCCGGATGCTTGGAGATATCAACTCCAAGAGGCGGTGCTACGGCTTTCGCATTTGGATGGACTCGTTTGGATTTTCTATGATTTCACCAGCCTGCCCCAATATCCCCGCACCACAGCACAGCAACATGCTTGTTTTCATCGCGCCTTGGGCAATATGCACTTGCTCTACGCGCATGATTTGGTCAATGTCTTGGTTATGGACCAACTCACGAAAGAGGCCGAGACAATTTTTGGGAAGACTTTTCTCTGGGCGGAAAACATTGTATGGCACCTGTTGTAAAATTTGTGATTGATCGAGATCCTGTTACAGTAAGCACTTGGATTCCCAGCTCGCGCAGCCTTTCAGGCAGACAGCCAGAGGTTGGAACAGGACCTGCAGGTCGAAATATTTATCCAATCACAAGGGGGAGTTGGCCTTGTTCACACCTATGAGCTGACCGTGAACGACAATCTGTATTTGGTGCGTGACTGGTACTGTGATTTGTGTGTGTGAACCAGCCAAGCACCGACCTTGATATCCTTGTTGTTTCATTTCATGTTGTTTTGACGCAGGTCTTGAAAGTTCTAAGGTGGCTGGTGCCAGGCAGAACGGCTGTGGGCAAACCTGCGAGAAGGCGAGCAGTGCCCATCCCTCTCCAACAAACGAACGCAGGAACGTTCAGCAAACCAACGCAGGACTTCGGGCAATGTGCTGTATGCGTGATTGATCGGTCGTTTCGTGAAACACATTCAGACACGCTCCAGTCAAAGTAAAAGCATGCGCCGCCAGTAGATGCGGGTGCGTTCCGTATTGCATTGCCAAGGTGTTGACAATGTGGTGCCGGAACCGCCGGAACTTTTTGCCAAGAGATTGGACACTTTTGTGTTTACTCATCGATCAGACACAAATGCAGTGCAACTGGCAAAGTTCACAATAGATAATTTTTGTTGTCGCGGGGTAAGGTAAGATGGTTTGTAGTTTCAACATCCTTGAAGCTGATCATTGTTCCAACACATCAGGCGAGATTTGCAAAGAAAAGTATTTGAAGAGAAGACCGAAGCGACCACCAAGCTCCGGTTTGACAAGCTTCCACCAGATCAGATCCCAATCCTGTGTGCCGCGCTACCACACTATTCAAAACTGGAGATCTTAACCATATCAAGGACAAGGCTCCAGGAAACTGGAATAGCAGCAATCCTCCGGTCCCGAGCGACCTTGGTGGTCTTGGTGGACTGCGATCTGGACGATCAGGAGGCAACCACAATGTTGGAGATACTAGAGAAGGAAGCTACGGCAGTCAAACAGTTGGAGCTTGGTCGCAATGACAGAATCTCTCAGGAAATTCGGCTTTCTTTGACTGTGGCTGCGCTGAAGAACAACATCAAGCTCCTCTTGAAGGCAAAAACTACCCCGGATCCTTGACATTAGTTACAGTTCAGCCACACCTGTTCCATTCTTGAAACAAAGCCAAACCCTGGCCCCATGGAGCTTTCGGACAAACTAAGTGCTGTTTGAGCTCAGCAGCTTGTTTGAAGCGTCCTTTTTTTAGATGAAAGCTTCTATATGTGTTGACCGTGTGCTCTTGATTAGTTTTTGTGTAGGATGTTGCTCTTGATCAGTTTTCCTGTCAGATTTCTGCGATTGGGTTGTCTCCCTTCTCACAATCCTCGCTTTATGTCGTAGGTCTTGGAACGTTCAACAAAAAGGCAGTGCATTTGTTACGCTGTCTTCACATCCACCGAATGCTCAACCGAAGGTTTATTGTCCTTTTAGTTTCGAATACTGAAGTTGTTTACTTTTGTCGCCTTTGTAAAAAGCATTTTGTTGGTAGCCCTCAGGATATCGAGATGGGAAAGCCCGAGGTGAAAAAGTCTATTGTGAGTCTGTGAGCAATTTTTCCTCCATTCAGATCCGTTCATGTCGAAGACATGTCGGTGGAGCCGGCAGTCATCATGACCCTGGTCAAGTGGCAACCAGGGAAGAAGAGAGTTGGGTGCGTTTGAGAAACATTGCATTCTGGGTAATAAATACATGAGGACATGTTGATCCAGAAACTCATCTTTTGAATTTCAATGTCTCAAGTCTCAGATACATTTTTGCAGCCACGTTCTTCTGCGCAGCTTCACCGATCCATCCTAACCACCGGTGTAGCCCAGACAGGACGCGCTCATTTTCACCGGAAAGCCCGACATCATCCATGGGCCAACGGACGAGCGCGTCTCCACATCGCCAGAAAAGCAACATACGCGGACCTTCGAGCGCAACCCGCGCGCCGCACATGCAGTTTCATCGAGAGAAACGACAACGCGACAACGCACTTGGTTTCTCTGGAGTTATACAGGCTTGGTCCAAGTTTGATCAACTGCAGGCCTACATGGACAGCTACGTCGGAATTGTTCCGGTGAAGGACGAGAGAGAGAGAGATTGTAGACGGTGACGCTGGCAACTGGCTGGCGTGGCTGTTGTTTTAGTTCAAACGAAAATGGGGGCAATCTTTGTTGGGAGAGGTTTTGGGGGAGCCGAATGCACTTGTAGAGGTTTGGAGTTCTTGTTCTTTCTACATTTGGGTGTGGTGTTAATAGGGAGGCCAACCAACCAATGGGTTTTGGTTTATATGTTCTTGTTTTTCCCCACATCTTAGTGTGGGGTTCTTCTTTTCTATGTCTCATCCCGCTTCTCCCGCTTCTCCCGCTCCTCCGCTCCTCCCACACACCACTCATCTCACTCACACACCACTCATCACACACCACTCATCTCACACCACTCATCACACACACCACTCATCACACACGACTCATCACAC